CCCAGTGGTTAAGGCAAGGCCAGAGGGAGATCCTCTGCAGATGACTGGGGTGTTGGATCCTTCCAAGGCATGTAGTTCTGTAGGCTTTTTTTTTTCTGTAGGTTCTTAAGTGACCATATGCTGATAAAATTTCATCCCCATTGCAAATCCAAAGTGATAGAAAACGCTGAGACCTGGTGAGGGAAAGTCCATGTTATTGAGTCCACGTATAGCCTCTATCCCTTCCACTATGGCCATTTTGTTCATGATGCCATTTAAAAAACCCACAGTGGCCAGGGAAAGAGCTGTGGCACCCAAGACTGGATCACCTCATCCACCTGATAACTGAGAACTGCTTCTGCAGTGGATGCCCTCTGGCTGGCATTTAGTGGGCAGGCTTCCACTGTTGCACAATGAGGTAAGCATTGAAATTCTCCTTCTGAGGATGAGTAGAAGCTCCATACAGCATCCTCATCTGCCACAGACACTCCAATTCCAGAGGTTTAGGCCTCTTTAGGCCTAAATGGCAGAATATCTTACGCTATAGTACCGACCTGTTCTAGAGCCCTTTGCTACTCTGGGCCCCATTCAAAACCAGCAGCAATATGACACACCCAGCAAATGCATCAGATAGGCACACAACATGTTCTATGCATTGCTTCAAAAATCCAAAGAGACCCATTAACCACTAAGCCTCTTACTCCATGATGGATTATGCAAGGTGAAGCAACACATTTCTCATCTTAGAGGGATATCCCAACATGTCCCAGGCTGCTAAAATTAAAAAAAAAACAAAAAACAAAAAACCTTGTGTGGCAGCTCCCTGAGATTCCACAGATGTTGGAGGGGGGTTCCTCTCCCCTTCTGGCCAGCATGTGTCCTTCAGTGCTTGCTAGTTCCTACTCATAATACAACAGCCATCCATGAAATTCTGTCAAGATGATCAGGGACCCATAGGACATGATAGCATACCTGGAAATCTCTGAGGTAATGCAGTAAAAGTGTACCATACTTTCCTCAGAGACAAAAGTGAATGAATGTCTTTGATTATCTATATTGATTGAGATACAATAGAATGAATTTTTTCAAGGGGTTCTTAAGCTTGTGTTACACAGCTTGATCTAACAAAACTGCTTAGTCCCAGCCCCAGACTATTTAATTCATATCACCTCTTTGCTTTCTCCTTTTGCTAGGCTGGAACTATGGTGTGCTGGTTGGAGTTCCAGTAGCCTCTTTGTATCACTTGCCGAAGATGGCAGAGCAGAAGAAATATCTTTAATGACTTTGTGGAGCTGCTATACCAACTCCCTAATCTCTCTAATCCCAGATGCTTTCTTGTGAGAGAGAAATACCAGCCTCCTTGGTGCTCCTTAGAAATGATAAGCAAGTTTGGTCCTCAGGATTGATCCCCATTCCTGGAACACTGTGCCCTGGATATCCATCTGGCTTGCTCCTTGATTTCCTTCAGCTCTTTGACAGAGTTGCACTAAGAACCTAAGGCATCAAGGCCTTCTCTGACCAGCATACCTATAATAGTCTGCATATCCCCTAATATTCTATTGAATTTACCATCTGCCCGACCACATACCTTTCCCTATTTGTTGTCTATCTCCTTCCACTAGAATGTAAGCTTCCCAAGGGTAGGGGGGTGGGCTATTCTAGTAACTGCTGTGTCTTTTGTCCCTAGATCAGTGCCTAACACATGGAAGGTGTTCAATAAATATTTGTTGCATGAATGAATGGATGACATGACCTAATGTGCAGGACCTGCATCCTCATCCGTCTGCCGTGGTGTAAGGCTCATCAGGCCCAACAAAGGTCACTGCTGGGTATCTTCTCTCCCTGTGGTCACCCAGGAAACAGGTGAGGACCCGGGCTGTCTGTCTGCAATGAGTGGGGCAGAGAGAGGGGGCAAGGCTCTCTCCTGGCTCTGGTGGGCTCAAAAGGAGGAAAGCTACCCCATGGTTCCTTCCTTTCCCACCACAGTTCAGAGATGCACAGAGGACTGGGGATCCTTCCCAGGGTTTATCACATGATGACAGCCACAGGTTCTGGAACCAAGTCTGTGCCCTTTCTGTGCCTAGATCAGTCAGCCCAACAGATACTGGACACCTAGGAGTGCTGTGATGTGCAACTTTACGTATCAACTTAGTCAGGCCACAGTACCAGAAATGTGGTCAAACATTATTCTACATGTTTCTGTGAAAGTGGTTTTTAGATGAGATTA